ACCAGATTGTATTGAATGAAAAACTTTGTTTACTCTTTTGAGTATTCTCTTAAAATAGTGTGATACTATTTTAACCAAATTTCCTAATGAAATATCTCTAAAGTTGGCTACTTTTGAGTGTGTGTTAGGAGTCTATTTTATACATTAGTAGTGATTATTATTGTGTGAAATAGATATCAGCCCCAAATATAATAAGAGTGTGTTTATCTCTTATTCATTATTTGGTTTATCCATCCTTGTTCTCTATCCATTTCGTTCCTCTCCATTTTCTCTTCTTATACCACATTCTATTCTATCTTCATAAATCAAAACACCAAAAAGAACTCCTTCATCACCGCCATATTTACCCCGTCATTTCCAACAATCGATTATCATAAAAGTGATAATCGACTATCGGGCATCTCAGAACATTCGTGGTTTGGAAATCATATCTTGTTAATCGATTATCAGTTAATGATAATCGACTATCACGCGTTTCTGAACTTTGGAGTTCAAAGTTATTTCCTTCTTGCTTCCATTTCCTCCGTAAACCCGCCATCAAATTGATTACTTGATAAGACCCCGGGTCTCGGGTACAACAATAAGGGGGTACATGGCAGGTATAGGCTGTAGAATAAGAGTGGGGTTTGGGCTGGGTATCTTTGGCTCTCATATGGGGAAATAAAGTGAGTTGTTTATTTTGTGGTTTGTGCAAGGAATTTTGCCCAAAGGGAGGGAAATGGGGGCTAGGTTGTGGTTTGGATTTTTTGGGGTTGTTTTTTTGTGGTTTTGAGGTTCTGTGATGAATTTTCCCAAAAAGATCATAATACCTAGTTTGCCTTCTTAAAAGAATGAGATAATAAAAAAACAAAAGGTGTTGGTTTGCCTTCTTAATTTCGGCCATGGGCTAAAAATAAGTGTATGAAAACTTTATTTTTGAAAGGAATTAAATGGAAAGGAGTTTTGGATGTTTAGGGTAGGGGTGGGGGTTGCTGGTTCGACCTAGGTGGGGTGTAGGACAACCATGGTGTTGGTTTGGATTCTAAGATAGGGAAAAGGAGTGAATTCAACCCAAATAACATCACCACACTTTGGATTTATTCCCCGGATCTGTCTTTCCTTTTGTGGGCTAAGGAAAGTCTCCGTTGATGCTCCCGGATATCTAACAGAATATAGTAAAGTACACGAGAGCTTTTACACGAGAGTTTTAGTTAGTAGAAATCTGATCCCTTCTCTAAGGGGTACACAGGTAATTATAGTGAATTAGAGGAGACAAGGTGCCACGCATCCACGTCAGGGCACGTTCTTGGGTGGTGTGAGGTGATTGCCTCCCGGGTGTGACTTCCTTGTTACGTAGTATTTTGGACGGATTGCCTGAGTATCTCCAATGATTCTCCGTTGAACTTGGCCGCTACAATCCAAGTTCCTTTGGATTCTTCCTTGCTGACACTCTCCAACCCTAAAAACCATACCGGGTGATTTCCGAGGGATGGGTGTATTGAAATTAGGGACGAATGGAGAAATAAAGTAGTTTCCCCGGTAGACTTTCTGAAGTGTATCGGTCATGTAACGCCCCAAAAATAGGCCTATCAGAGTTAATTAATTTATAATTAATTAATTACTGAGAAGGACCCAAAAATAAGTAAATTCTAAAGTTTGTCAATAAATAATGAAAATCATATCATTATGTAGAGTTTGACTGTCTGATCCCAACGGTTCAATCGGATTTCAATTTGGAGAAAGTTGGAACAAAAAGTGTACCATAACTGGGACCAAAATTATTCCCAATCAGAGACTACACCCCAAACGGCGCCCTGTTCAATTACGCCGATTCCAAATCGTCGCTCAATCACGGAAGCTGCAAACCTGTGTCTTCCTCTTCTTCCCTGAGCTATTTAAGGACAACTCAACTCCCTCATTTCATCACCAAAACAATTCATTCTTCCTTTTATATTGTTCCTTGCTGAGAGTAGAGTGCAGTGGTGCTGTCATCTTTGTGTGAGGTCGCCGGAGCAGTGAGATAGAGTCGCCGGAAGGTTCGCCGGAAAATCTTCAAAACCTCCCCTACACTTCAAGGTAAGCCCGTAGATATATCTAAAGATTAGAATGTTCATATAGGTTGTTTTTACGTTCATAAATGGTCATTTGGTTGAGTTTGGTGTTTGACATGTTTGAAGAACCAAGAATCATAAACCTTGAATTTGATGTTAAAAATATGTTTTAATGATTCTAAAATGATCTATGAACCTTGGAGAACATTTCTATATAGTTTAATTGAAGTTTAGTAACTAAAATTGATATGTCCGAAAATGGACCGAAGGTAGAAGACGATGAACAGTGATCGAAAATCGATTATTTTCTTCCTAAAAATCGATTAAAACTTGTTCAGATAACGTGTATCAAAATAAAAAAAATAATCGATTATATTAAGGTATTAAATCGATTTTTTTGTATTTAATCGATTA